CTCGCGCCGCCTCGCGGGAGGGCGCGCGAGCCGCGCACAGGAAGGGCCCCGCTCGGCTCCCGTAGCCGCCCGCCCGCCCGCTGCCATTTGCTGCCTGCGCGGGGTGCGGCGACGGCGACGGCGCCCGCGGGCCGCGCGCGAGAGTCCGGCCGGCGGCGGCGGCGGCGGCGAGGCGACTCCGGGGCGAGGCATGTGAGTGCTGGCGGCGCGGCGGGCATGGCCGCGGAAGGCGTTCCTTGCGGCATCCGCGTCCCTCGCAGGGCGGCGGGCAGGGCTGCCCGCCCCCCGCCGTCCCGTTGCATTGCGCTGCGCTGCGCTGCACCGATACCCCGCCTTGCATTGCATGGCGCTTCTCCCCGCGTCGTTCCCCTCCTGCGGGGAACCCACGGCGGCCTAGACAGCCCTCTTCCGCTCCGTGTGGTTCTCCCAACAACAGCCCGGCGAGGTAGGCAGGGCTGAGCCCCCGTGTTTGGCCTGAAGTCGCCGAGCGGGAGCGGGGATTGGAGCCTGCGGATCCCGGACCGGCCCTGCCGCCACCACGGCACTCCCGCTCTCACGGATATGACATGGGTATCGTAGCCTTCTGTAGGCTGGCCTCTTCCAAATGTTTTGGGCCTCTGTGCTCATTCGTTCTAGCCTGTATGCCCAGTAGCCAGGTGTGCTGTAATCCAAACTATCTGGGCAGCCCCAAGTTGCATAAGGCTGCTTTTGCAAACTGAACTCTTTTTTCTACCCTGAATCATTTTCCAAGCGGCCCTGTTCACAGCTTCCGTTTGCCATCTGGTCTAAGAAAGCAAGGCACTGTGTAGGATGTGTTTCCCATCAAAAAGTGGCATAAAGTGACTATTAAAATATTTAGACCATGGGTCTATAAGGCTTGATTGTGCTTTATGGTGTACTGTGAGATCATCTGAGCCAACACTGTTGCATGAAAGTCACTTCTGTTGCGCTATCTAGTTCAGGAGGTGGAGGGATTCTTGGCATTGAAACAATTACTCCATGAGAAGCTGGATCTTAGTGTAAGCTCTTGCAAGAACTGTGTTTCATTTCCAGGTGCAGACCTGCTCTTTCCAATTTCTCTTTTCTAGGGCCGATTACTGGAAGTCTCAACCCAAGAAATTCTGTGATTACTGCAAGTGCTGGATAGCAGACAACAAGCCTGTATGATAATCTACCTAATGTACTTTTAAGTGAATCTGAAGTACAATGATTTGAGCTCAGATTAAATTTTGTCAGTAGAGTGATGCAGTCTTGAAAATCAGTACAGTAACCCACTCTCTACCTCAGAAGGCAGTCCAGCTATACCTTTTGCTGCAATGTGCTGGCTTGGGATGGCATTCCCCTTCCATAGCAGCATGACAGTAGCTGAATCCTAGCAAACTCCAGCCCTACTGATTCCTGGAGACAATGCATCACGCACCAACACTGTCTCAATCCTGGGTGGGGACAGCTGTCATTCTATTAAATCAGGGGCCACCACCAAAAGACCCTTGATGTGAATACTGCCTACCTGCTTGTGAATGTGAGAGTGTGGAGTTTATAGCCTCTGATACCAATCTCACTTCTCTGGTGGCTCAAATGGAACTCAGCACAATAGCACCTGTGCTTTCTCAGTTAATCCTCTTGTGTTTTCTTGAATTCTGGTTGGTGTATTTATCCTCAACGAAATCTTCATTTCAGTGTCTTGTTTTTTTGTAAATTGGAAATTCTTCTGGTTCATGTTTCTATTATTTTTTAAAATTCTGCTTCTGCTTCTTTTATAGAGCATAGACTTCCATGAAAGAGGAAAGAACCATAAGGAAAATGTGGCTAAGAAAATTAGTGAGGTAATTCAAATGTGACTTTGCATAACCTAAATGTAACATTTTGAATTCCAGTATCGTGGAACCCACATTCTACCTTTGTAATCATAGATCAAAAAGAAAAGTTTGGACAAGGCAAAAGAAGAAGAAAAAATGTCAAAGGAATTTGCAGCCATGGAGGAAGCTGCAATGAAGGCTTATCAGGAAGACCTGAAAAGGCTTGGGATTCAGACAGGTAGGCCCTGAAACAGATAGGCCAAAGCTGGTGTTAGTCCGCCTGTTGTGTCTTTCTGTGCTGTGGCCCATGAAGAATGCAGGAAGTGTAGCTGTTCTTCGGGGCAGGAAGCATCAGCTATTTACCAGGTGAAAAAAGGTAGTTCAGTTGCTGGAGTTGTTTCTCCTCAAAGTCACTCAAAAATTTGCAAATAGAATTGTATTGATATGGTCAGTCTTCATTGCAGGGTTTGTTTAGCTATGTACCAGAAAACCAACTCTTTATATTTGTGGCTGTGTTTGCTCTTAAATCTGGAATTTAATGTTTCAGAATCTGTAACTCAGAGTTCAACACAGAAAAAGCCAGAAGAAAAGAAGGAAAGGAAAAAGAAAGTAAGAGAATCCAGAGAAACTTCTTCAAAGGAAACAAAAGAATGGGTGCAAGGGTTTTCTCCAGAAGGCTACGTATACTATTACAACACTATATCAGGAGGTAAAGCAGTAGCGAGAAATAGAAGTATTTGGGTTTCTGCCTCCTGTCTAATTTCCTTTCTGTCCTTTCCTACCTAAGCCATCAGAAAAAAAATAAATGCCAGGAGCTCAACTTGCAGGTTCTCTAGATAGAAGTCATATTTGGCCAGAGACTTGACTTTCTGATTTTTTAACTCCATCTGTCATCTATCAGTTGATCACCATATATAAGTATATGTATCATTCATAATATGGCAGAATCATTATTTCAAAGTGCAGATAGAATTGAACCTTGTCTTTTTTATCTTTCTATTATCAAGAATCTCAGTGGGAGAAACCAAAAGGGTTTCGGGACAGCTCTCAAGAATCACGAATGGTAATTGTCTGCGTAATAACAGGTCTTGTTTCTCTCGTACTGTTATGGTGGGTTGCCATTGTAATTTACCCTTCTAACAGTTCATTCCTCTACCTGAAGTCCATGGCTCAGGTATAGTTGTTCACAAGATTAATTTCTGAGGCGACTTCCTGTGAACTTTATGCTGGACTTAACAATAGTTTTATTTTTGGAGTTCTTTGAAGAGGACTGGATATACTTTCCTTTTAAAAAGATAAATACATCCTTATTTGATTTCCAGTTAATTAGGTTAAATCACAATGTTTTCATTGCTAGTAAAAGCTTAGTCTTGCTTAGTTGTATCCTAATAGTGAAAAGTAATTGATTTTTATGGATTATTTTGGCTTTTCTGTATAATCGTCAGACAGGAAAATGGGTAGAAGGATCAAGTGAAGATGGTCACACCTATTACTACAATACAGGTACTGGGGGTAAGTAACAAAGGTTTATTCCAAGCTTTTTCAGCGATCTTTGAATCTATGTCTAAGGGAGGGGCACACAATACAGTGTATGTGGGCTTCAGTGTACCCCTGTACACTTTTCTTTGTGTATACTAAGGTGCCCTATCTCTACACATTTTTAATTTACTTGCACTTCTTACCATCTGGTGAAATTGCTGTGACGGTTCTGAAAATGTATTTCCAGAGGAGTCATTCAGTGTGTTGAGTGTCTTCTCCTTCGCCATGCCTGGCAATCCCTGTGCTCACGCCACCAAAATGTCCACCCATCCCTGATATAAAGGGTGATGTGAGCATCCTTGTACAAGAGGATACAGGATCCCTCTGACAGTCTCGATCTGTTCTGTCAAAGTGCCCAGAGACTCAGTGCTTTCCTGCATATCTGTGAGAGTGGAAAGCTCCTAGACTAGAATAAGAAGCCTGCAATCAATATTTGTGCCACGCAGTTTATTCCATAGTCTGGTGTGGTTTACCACATTGAATACTGATGAAAGATAAACCAAAGCAACAAACAGATTTTGAAGCTCTGTGAATCGATTCTGGAACTAGATGCTCCCAAGTAAAGCTTGAGTTTACTGTACTGGGGTCTCTCCCAAAACCTACTAATTTAATGCATTTGCTTCAACTTGCTCCCGTAATACACTGTTGTTTGCCACATTTGTGCATGCCAACTGTACTGCTGATGCCTTAAATTCATATAGTACTGATTCAGAGATGATACACAAACATCAGTTCCTGTTTCTGTTGTTCAGAATCAACCTGGGAGAAGCCAGATGGTTTTCAGTCTACTTTAAATGAGAGAGGTCAAAATGAAAAGTGTTCTAAAGAGACCTCAGAAATAGATTCAAAAGGAGTGGAATCAGATGGAAATGGGGGCAGCAGAAATGAACTGCAAAACGTGAAACAAAGCACTGGGGTAAGTCATTCCTTCCTCGGCCTAATTTTGTTAAAGTAGCCCATTGTAAAGCCAAATCTTCTATCAAACCGTAGTGGGTATTTAAATTTAGCGAGTTAGATGGTTTTTGAAAAAATAGAGCCATTCATTCTTGACTTGAAAGGGTCAAATAACTGTTGGCAGAACAACTAAGGAATTGTATTAAAATTAATTTATTAATTTCCCATGGGGAGCAGGTTGGCCATTAGGGGAACTGAATGGTTGACTGAATGGCCCCCTGGTCTGATCCAGCATGATTTCCCATATGTGTATCTCATGATTTAGCTACCTTAAGCAAAAATAAAGGGGTGTGGATTTATGGTGACCATGGAAGATGATGTCCAGATAACCTGCATGGGCTCTCCTCCGCAGTGTGATGTTAGCAGTAATGGGATGTCCCAGTGAAGGGGGTTCTTCCAAACCACACTATTGCATAAAGGGTTGCGTTCCTTCACATTTAGAGAAAAGCGGAAAGCGACGAAGAAGTAGAAGACAGACCCAAAAAGATCAGCCCCTATGGAGAATGGCAAGAAGTGAAACAGGAAGGTGCTGATGGAAAGGAAGCAGCACCTCTTCCTCAGGAAACATCCCAGGCCGCTCCTCAAAGAGCCAAACCTTACGGTGAATGGACAGAAGTCACGGAGGAGGAAGACTCTTAGTGAGTTCTGCTAGCAGCTAGACTTTGATTATGAAGGCTTTACTCATTCAGGACAACCCAGAATTGCTAAAGCAGGAGTAAGCCTTCCAGAGACACTGGGGTACAGCTCCCAGTGGCCTGGATTCACACCTGCCATGCAAAACTGCTGAGCCAGCTATGGCCAATGCCTCATTTGTCTAAGCCATCATAGCCTGTTAGCAAATAAGCTCCTTCCCCCTGATGGCAAGTGTTACAGGGTGCATTTTGTTTCTTTCTGAAAAGAGGAAGCAGCAAAATTAAAAGAGACGCAGACATGTACACAGTTCTCTGAAAGGGTCTTGTGGAACTCAGTAGGATGAGCACTGAATAGATGTGAGCACACTTGGGCTGCAAAAGGTGGACTAAAAGGCAAACTTGCGGGGGCATTTTTAAAGAGAACAAAGAACTTCTCTTACAACATTTTGGGGGTACAGCATGATGCTCGTTGTCAGAATACCAGTTTGTCTTGACCAGTAAAAGGTATATACAATTAGTGGTGGTCAGACCTACAGTGCCTCTTCCAAATCTGCTTCCATATCTTCACGTCCCATCATTGATGTGGTTCGCTGCACTTCTGCTTGTCACAACACTTTGCTTCTTCAGCAGTTTCTGTGCATAAAAATTGACCAGTGTTTGCAGCACTGGGGTTCTGGTTGGCACCCTTCTATTTGAAGCATCTTATCGATGCCTAGTTTATCAAGCAGTTCTGTGATAACAATGAAAATTGCTGTTGTTAATTAATTTTTTCCCCGTTTAACACCCAGTGAAAAGGTCGACCTGGAGCTCCCCAACCTGCAGAGTGACTCCTCGCCAACCCCAGCCCCAGAACTGCCGGAGGATGCAAGAGTGGTGTTTAAGGAAAAAACTGTTACTTCCCTCGGCGATACAACAGAGGGGATGCCCATCTTCAAAAAGCGAAAATTTGAAAATGGAAAATCTAGAAACATACGACAGAGACTGGACGATCACTGATCGTTTATCTACATGGCCTTGGTGGTTTTTTGATGGAAGAAGAACCAGAGTGAAGAAAAATAAATACTTTAAACAGTATCTTTCCGAGAAATGCTTAGAAACAAAGCTTCTAGTTTTTCAGAAGTGTTGTCTGTTAATTCAATCAAGTATCTTATTCTGGAGGTGATGCTCCTTTTTGTTGCTAGAAACTTTTCCATTCATGCAGTGATGTAAATATATTATTTTTACATATCATGCCATCTGAATTGTGTTTCTTGTTTCTTACAGTTGGTATGTTGTACTGAGTCATTTTCTAAGAAAAGTAGACTTCACTGCTGATGATGTGTCCATTAAGTAGGCAAGCATCAGTGAATGCTGAGTTTTTTAAAAAAATCAAGGCAGCTGCTTTACAAAATGTGTTTGTGTTAGGCTTATTGATTAACAGAAGGTGGAAAAATTAAATAAGATCCTTTAATTAAATAAGTAAATGTGTAACTATCCAGCTCTTGATTTGATCTAGCCATTCTTTCTAATTTGCCTTGACAGACTATACATTATACATATTATACATAGAGATCACATTATTCTACATTTCAAAGCCTTGTGTTTTGTGAAGTTTTTTGCTGCTGCTTTCTGATGCTCTTCCCGCTGTGTTTCACAGCGTCAACTGTGCATTCCTTTGACTCCTTTCTTTCTTTTGGCAAATGTTGCAAGAATGATGGTTTTGTGTTTCTGGTTACAGATGTAAGCTGAACCCTTGCTTTGCCAAGGTTTCTCTGTACACCTTGAAATACTTGCTGTATTCCATTCGTACTTTTTCATCCGTTCAGTGGGATAGTAGACAGCTGTGTGTATTCTACTTGAAAGCTGGACTTCAGACATAATCTTGTACATTAAGTATATTTGTATATACTTTATTAGTTTTGCACTATTTATTATTGCGCTGCTAGCCAGAGGCAAACATTTTGTACAACCTTCTTCTGAGGCGTCCCCTGACATTTTCTACTCCCATGGTGACTTTCACTGCCTAGAAACTAATTGTCTTTCACTGTTTGTACATGCAAGTAGTGAAAGCTAAAGGGGATCGATTCCTACAAAACTTGAAAAGGGGAGCAGAATAGTGTTACAGGCCCTCTGTGTCAAGCGTGATCATGTTTTCACCATCTGCACTTTTTCTGTGCCCCAAATAATGTATCTTCAGGAAACCTTTCAATTTAAAGAACACCCTCGTAGCTTTTGGCTGAACTTAGGTGTACGCTTAACGGAGGGTAAATCCTCATTGAATCTAATGGGACAGGATTGCACTGTTGACTCCTAGACCTTTTGGCAATTTTGGATAGCCTTGTCGTGGAATCCTGCTGGCCCATCTCATGGGGAGAAAGCTTTGTCACCCCATGTGACAGTGGCTCTGGTCATTCCAGGGGACAGACTTCAAAAGGGGATGCTACAGGATTGCTATTCCAGCTTCGCTTTTGGCCGCTGCTTGGGATTCCATCAAGTTCACCATCATAGCAAGCATCTGCATGAAGCAACCTGAGCAAGGTTCTGTGGAACTTGCTGCAGGTACACTTGCGATGCCAGATGCAATTTTCCTTTCCACGGCATCCCATGGAGCTCTGAACTGCTGCTGGGGTCGGTGAATGACCACCTTTTAGGAACACTGTTAATCAGAGGGCATAACAATTACATTGTCCTTAGTCTCTACACCTTCACTTCAGTAAAGAATTTGAGGGATTGTACCCTGCGTAAAACATAATCACCACAGCTGTGATAGGAAGCTCTCAAATGACCAATATTTATATTTGTTCTGTACAAAGTTGAAACTCAGCTATGATCTCCAATCTCAAGAAATTATTTTGGACCTTAAAACTGCGCAAGTTAAGTTTCAGGGATGGAGTAAAACATGCTATTTTGGGACAGGTTCCAGGAAATATCTTCCTCAGATACACTTAGTGATGAGGAACAAGCAGCTCTAAGTTAAGAATTTTAAAAATTAACCATTTTAACAGGGACATCGTCATTGCTTCCTAGCAACAGTTGAGTATATTGAAAGAGTTCTCTTTTACCTAAATCAGTTCTCATTTGGTACTTCTCAAAGGTACCTCCAGCATTCAAAGTATAATAAGAAAGAAAAGGAACAGTAAGAAAAGGCAAAAAAGGTAAGTCAGAAAGCAATTTTGTTAACTATCCTATGTAAGTTTTCATATATTTTAACTACCGCTATTGAGAGATCAATATTACTATTTCTCTGATCTATATATTTTAACATAGGATTTTAACAAATAATATCCTATCTTTTAAAGTTTAATGCTGGGAAATGCTTGCTTGCAATTTCATGCCCACATGCCAGAAATAAACTACTGAAATTACTGGGACTGACTCCAGAATAATCATATTTTAGATTTGGCTGCTAGTGGTAGGTAAAAATGTGAGGTTTTTGTCACAACACCATTCCGTTATGTTGATTTCCATTTATAAATACTGAATAAACGGACTACCAGTCATTAAAGAATCACATGGGTATCTCTTTTAATCTTCACCTTGCATCAATTTGAAACCTACCATTAGCCACGTTTGGGGTCATTTTGTGACACTAGACAAAACTCTCTCAGTCCAGGCTCTGCTGTGCATGAAAAACCCTTGTTTGTGTCCATCCAGGTGGTTTGAATCAGGAGAAAAATGGTTCTAAGGGTTTAGCAAGTACAGGTAATTTAAGACTGAATGCAGCAAAACTTGCATATAGTCCTATCTGCATAACAAATCAGTATTAAAAACCCTTTGACAGATTTTGTTTGCTGGAGATTTTACCTCCAATGTTGGGCTTTTGAACAAACTTACCGGACCTCTAACCTTTTGGTTCATTGTTTACCCTGCAGAACAATTATTACACTAATTTGGGGAAATTCGTTGTTGCTAATTTGTAGCTTAATTTTAAAAGCGTAAAAGGCAGGAAGCTGAAATTTGGGGCATTTTCTACCAGCCTAAATTTGACAGAGGCTGGGTTTGCAGAATGCCTTAAAACCCTTGGTGGTTTTAAGCATGTACTGTGGTCAGATTTCTCGTGTGTAACAGATGATCAAGGCATGCTGCAGGAATGGGGGAGAGGGGTAGCACTGCCCAGGCCTTGATTTTGTAAAAACCAGATAATTTAAAAAGACAGCAGTGTGTTATCCAGTTTGGCATGTGTGCCATGAGCATGCAGACAGTGCCAGAAAGCAACCGTGTGACCCACTGTTTCCAGGAGGTCTTTTAAAGTTGTGGGTATGGAAAGCCCCTTCTCAGAAGAATCCTCTGGGGAGGTAGGTGTTCCAGCTGCCCTCAATGTCCCAAGTGTGCATGATACAAAGAAGCCAGGCCCTGCCCTCAAATCTCTGAAAAACTTGCCAAAAGTGTTTTGGGGGCTCCCCCTGCCAAGCAAGATCCCGCAAGGGGGTTTTTGCAGGCGCAGGGTCACACGGCAGGCTCCAGCTGCCCTCTCAGAATCGCAATTTGCCCCAGCTGGACAGCACCTTGGCAGCAAAGCCCCAGGGAAACCCAGCCCCTTTCTGGCACTCATGCCAAAGACTTAAACTCTTTTGCTAGAGACTTACATTTTAGGTCTGTTTATGTGTCAACTATGCAACAAAATGTGACCTTGCAGTTATCCAGACACCTCCGGACTGTAACAGAACAATCACCAAAATACTAGAAGCTTGAACTGCAGAGATGAAGACTGATTGCTCATATTAATAATGAAGGCTAATAAAAATAATAAATACTAAGAACTAATTCTTGAAATATATATGACTTATTTCTGGAGTAAATAACCTTTACTGGCATCATTGACAGTTTTCCTGCTAAAACTAAAGAAGCTGGTGAATGCTGAAACAGAATGCCAAACAGAGCTCAAGAGGTAAGCAAACTTCTTCAGAAGGCTTATTTGGAATCCCACAATAGCATTCTGGCTCTTTCAAAGCATGTGCCCAACACGCCGAGTGCTTGATTACAGGCACAGGTTTTGAGCTGCAGACGTGTGCAATTAATGCCAACACGGGGGCATTAAGGCGGCAAAACTGCACGAGTGCCCACAAGTGCCCACTTGAGAAATTCTGCGCAAGTTATCGCTCATTCTTTCAACAGCCCTGTAAGGTGGGACAGTATTATTAACTCAGCAAATAGGAGGTATGGTAAAGAGAGGGTGGCTTTCCTGAAGTTAAAGACTTGGGAGAAATTTGAACTGGGGACTCCACCGCTTGAATGCTCTTTGGAACAGCACAGCTCACTTACAGATTGCGAAGCCTAAGCTGAGACTTGGGGGAGGAGGGAGACTCAGATTCCAGCCGGGGCTCTTGCTAGGTGCCCCTTCCCTAGTTTGCAAGTGGCTGTAGAAGGCCCGCCCTGAAGTCCAGCGAGGACCGAGCAGGCCCTCTCAGTCACCCCAGCAGCATCCACTGCAAAATGCTACTTCTGTTGCCTTTCCGCCTTCCCACTTAAATATAAACATTCCTTCTTCACCAGGATGCCGTCATTAACCTCAAATCAGTGCGAGAACTGGGCAAGCAACTGGGCTTTGAATGGACTATGGTTGCCTACGAGCTGGGACTCAGCCGGGCAGAGATAAGTCAGTTCTGCACGGCTACCACTGAGAAGAAAGCCCAGGCTCAGAAAATGCTGGAATATTGGTGAGTAGATCCCTGTGGAAGGCACCCACCTGCCCTTCCTTCATTCTAGCCTGCAGCTTGATGTCCAGAAGAAGACTCTTCCAATAACTGAGAAGAACGGAGCCCAGAGCATTGCCCATGCTCTGTGCTCCCATGTCAGACAGATGGGACACGTGTGCAGCCTTGCAGAGCCAGGAGGCTGGTGGCAGGCACGGACAGCATTTCTAGTCCAGCTAGTTCCTATTAAGCAAACAAGGACATCCTAGGCTAGACTTTTGGAGGCTGAAGCAATCCTTAAAACTAAGTTACAAAGCACCTAAAGGCTAAAATTTAAGAAGGCAGAGAGTCTAGATCGACAGAAAATTACCTGGACAGCAATGGCTTGTGGCAACAGACCAAAAAGTCATTAAATGCATTAAAGTCAGAAATTAAGGTCATTAAGAACACAAAGAGGAAACTGGTCAGTAATAAAGCTACCTAGTGGCCTCCAGATGTTTTCAACTATCATTCCCAGAAGCTGCAGCAAACCGGGCCTGACCTACCCGTTGCTACCAACCTTATCTGGGAAAGAAATCACACAGGATGAGCTTAACAGTAATCCTAAAGAGCACTCAGCTTCACACAGAGACCATATTTCAGGTTTTTCAACTCTTTAAAGGTCTGAACAGTTGGTAGAAAAGAACCAGCTGCCCATGCAGGTAACAGAGAGCAGGCTGAAGCGGCACTCCACGCCAGCGCAGGTCTCCAAGCGCTTTCCAAGGCGAGTCCCACATAGAGGGAGGTAAATCTGGCCAAAATGCAACTCATGCCTTCATGCCAGTGGCCAGTCTGACCATTGCCAGGGATGCTTTTCATGCCCCTCTGCACGGGACAGAAGTGCAATGGTTTTTTGCAGATTGCAAGGCAGTCTCTGTGGAACTTGAATGCAACTGCTGCTTGGCCATGCGTTTTTGAAATCATTGCCCAGAGGGCTGTTTTCTTTGGTAGCCATGAGGCATCTTCCTCTCTCTGCCATTCACGTGCAGGTATCATCGTTCCTGGGACAAGCCAAATAAGACCAAAATGCTTCAAGATGCCTTGGAACGGTCGGGAAGGAAAGACCTGGCTGAGAAACTCCGGTGTCTTCACTGGGGACATCAGAAGCTGAGTAACAGGGTAGAGCTGCCGTCGGCTTTTCCCTTCCTCATCACGGTGTATAAGACTATTAACAACAAAGAGGGGCTTAAAAAAATTAACCAACTGAGTCATAAATAACTTGGGAACTTTCCAGCCAAACAACTGCACAGCTGGTGTGAACTTGTCAGTGCTAAGTCAGCAATGAGCTCTGTTGATTTTAACGCAGCCGTAGTCTAACAGAAACACCCTGACTTGGATTTTCCTCAATATTATCATTTGCTAATTCTTCAGTGACTTTGTGAATCCAGGCAATCTGTACTGATGTCCCACTTCTTAAGGGACCGTTATGTAACGCAGAGTTCTCAAAATTATGTATGCAAAATGCAATTGTGTCATTCCACTAACACAAATGAAGTTGCACAAGCAGAAACTAGATCCAAACTACACACGAGAGTCCGACTAAAGTTCTATTTGCATAAACAGTTGTGGGTCTGGATGTATATTACACAACTATTTGCACAACGGAAAGATGATCTCACCGTTCATAAATAGTATGTCTGCCTCTTTAGTGCCTTTTTAGTTTACACTTTGAGATGTTAAATATCCATTTTGTGATCTTCAATTGTACAAACTGGAAAAATCCTGTAAGTAAAAAAACCTTAAGACCTAAAATATGTATAGAAATGAAGTTTTGATCATCTGCATTTGGCCATGGAAGGGATTCTCTTTTGCACGGGCACCTCTGACCATTGTCTCCTGTCCCCTCCCCTCCCCTCCCCTTTCTGCCCACTAGAATATTAAGGAAACTGCAAATTCTTCCCCAGAGGGAATTCACAGGTGCCTGTCCCTTCTGGTGAGTCAAGCATCACCTACTCCTTTGTGACAGGAACCGCAGAACCTGGAGATACAAAACAACAGTGCCTCTGCAAGTTCTACCTGCACAGGTGTACCATTTCTTTGCATAACAACAACCAAATCAGAGGCAACACTAATCAAAGAGAGCAACTTTTATAGTAGCATTTCATCAGTGTTTCCACTGAATTTAACAGACATTAAGAGTAGGATCTCTTGCTGCATACATACAGTCAGGTCAGGAGTTCACTTGTTGCGATTTAAAATTGTTTTCCAAATGTTCAATCAAGGCCTCCATCTCTGCAGCCTCCAACAACTTGCTGATCAGTTCATCCAGGAGCTCTCTGCCGCTTAAAAACGCCTATCAGAAGATGAGGAGGCACTGAGGCAGTTGCTGGGCACGGTGCAGATCAAAGCGAGCTGGGAGTTCGCCAGTAAATGAAATGCTCAAGGCCTACTTGGCAGTTTGCTCGGAGGCACTGCTATACATGTAGGCACGTGTGAACACACACACACACACACACACACACACACTTTTGATGCCATCATAAAGCAGAAGGGCCACCGTGTAATGGCAGAAGCCATGCCATATTTCCAGGTGCTGCTCCCATAGCAAACTCCTGACCTCTCCAGGGAAAAAGTGAGAGAGCTGGGCAGCCAGCGCCAGCCCACAAGTAACTGTTCTGGCCCCACGGGAGACTGCAGTCCGAGACTGCTCTACATTGCTTGTCTTTCCTTTTGACAAATACTGTACTTTATTTAAAATAAATACCTCGATGTTACGGATTTCATAGGAGATCCTGTGGTCCGTGACTCTGCCTTGGCTGAAGTTATATGTACGAATTCTCTCCGACTGGGCTCTTGTCCCTAACTGTAAAAGAACATTTTGTTTTGTTTAGCTTTTTAAAAATGCATAATTATTTCTTTCAGGAGGTCATTATAGTTGGTTAATGATGAAGTTCTTTGTTTTCAGCATGCGGCAACTATTTTTATACCTTATTCATAGGTACCAGCAAAAAAGCATAAGATAAATAACCCACACATTGGAGGAACTTGCTACTTCCAGTTTCCAGCAACAACTTAAAAATGCTGCATCTGTAGGGTTTACCATGACATCTGAATCCAGGCATTTTAGGCTTGATTGTTTGTTTGATTAGAAGCTTTTCTATCCTGTCCCCTACAGAATGTCTTGGGACGGCTTACAATAAATAAATAGATTGCTTGTGGGTAACCCTCGGTTTGTGCGTGGGTTAACTCTGGGTATTTCAATCCACAAGGAACCCTTAGTGCCCAGGTTCAGATGTCATGGTAACAACCTACAAATGTGACATATGTCGGCTGCTGATGGCAAACAGTCGCGCCAAGCATCATCACAATTTGAGGGTGAATTAACTCACAATTTGCCACCAAATGCCACCATTACATATGAACAACCCCATTTAAAACTATGTTCACCACTGTAACATTCTGGAAATGTTCTCTTTTTGGGGGCCATGTGCTTTTAATTCCTAATCTTATATTCATTCAGTGTATGGAAATGCATGCAGTTATTCCCTTTGAACAAGCAGGAACAAACTGCAGGGGCCTGGTCTGGAGATAACTGCACAGAACAAACCTTGCATATTAATATGCATTAATACATGAGACATTCTGTAGGGGAGGGATAGAAAAGCTTTTAATGAAATTAAATGAAATAAATAATAAAATAAAATCACTCTACATAACTGGTTGCAATGAGCCAATGCGGCAAGCAGTTCCTTTTCCCCGTAGATTTTAGGAAGGCTCATCCGTGGAGCCAGCGGGGATCGCATAGTGTGCCGGTCAGAGGCCAAGAGCTGTCTTAAGTTCCCGACTAAGCTGCGTGAAGCCATCAGCAACCTGCCATGCAAAACGCAGTGCGAAGAAATCTTCTTCCCAGGTAGGACACACCGCCTGCCCGCCATGAATCCGCCCAGTCCGGATGGCTCCGGGGATCCTCGGTGGCCACACGATCCCCTTGCCAAGGCCTTCTGTCGCGGTCACCCTGCAGATGTCAAAGCCGGGCAAGCGGGAGACGTGCTTACCTGCACAGTTCTCGCACTCTGCTCTTGCTGCAGTTCTCTCTCCACCGCCTGCCGGAACAGCTTTTCTCTCAGCCTCTGCAAAGCGACTTCCCTGTTAATCTGCTGCGATCGCTCCTGCTGACATTCCACTGCTAGCCCTTCGGAGTGTGAGGAAGCAGCCATCAGGGACCAAGCCGAACCCTCAGCCCATGCCGTCTAAATCAGCGATGCCCGCCCGGCCACAACTACCCTTCCTGTCTTGGAAAAGATCATGTTCCAGGGAACAAACATGCACAGGTTGAGGCTGTTCGCTTCAGCCACCCCATTTTCTGCCTTTTAGTTTTGTTCTAGCCGGAATTCAATTTGTATACACGAATACATTCCAGACAAATATTGCCATTAAAGTCATATCGCAGGAAATGGCACGTGTTTATATGTATTATAATAATTATCAATTGTACATTTTTAGGGCATGCTGAGGCAGCAAACCCCCAAGCTTACCTTGGAGCCAGATACCAACAGGTCATTACATTTATTTATATTTTATCAAAGAACTTTATGCCCGGCCCTTCAGCAGAATGGCTTAAAAAAAACCCAATTTACAATAAATCAGATTAAACAAAAATCATTTAAACACACTATAAAATTGCAGTTTAAAATAAGTCAGCGGAAACAACAAAGAAACAGAAAAACAGTGTGCAGAGAATGGTATTTATGTATTTATAGCATTTTTAGCGCGCGCGCGCTCTCTCTCTCTCTCTCTCTCTCTCTCTCTATATATATATATAGGTATTTAATGCACAGTCCATTGCTCTCTAACTGCTTATGGATTTTATTATGTTTATTATATTTGTGTGGTATATCAACATTAAAAATGACAAACAATATAAAGTATTTCCCTAGCACAAAAATTGTATCACTGTAGGCACCAGCTGCGTTAACGCTGGTACTGTCCTGGACTCGGCCACAAGATGTGGCTGATTAATGTACTTGCTTAAGTGAAGAGGGAATACAGTAACGATAAAACAAGTACCTGTGGGAATGTGCACAATCCTTACAGCACTATCAGTTGTATTAACATGCTGTCCTCCTGCCCCTTTGGCTCGAAATGTGTCTATGCGCAGATCTTTTGGGGCTATTTGAATCTTTACCTTGAGGGAAAGAACAGTTTTGGCACAATTTTACTATCAGAAATGTAATTGTACGACAATACATTTACCTGCACACACGTAACCTGCTCTTCCACTCGCTCTTCTTTCCATCACCTGAAACCAGTCCTGCCCTGCCCTAAGGGCAGCCGGACCTGGATTAGCTGCCCAAGAAGAGCAGCTATGAATCCGTCTCCACTTTTTGGCCAGAAATGCATGACTGGGGAGGGCTCTCCTTCATTACGCATTGCCTGCCTTTTTCAGGCATTGAGATGATGTCAGATTTCATGTAACCACATAGCAGCAAACAAGGAAGCTCTAACACACCCTGAATATGAAGCCAGAAGTAAGGAATATTCCTCCACAAGGAATATCCTAGGAGGACTCTTGGCGAGATTTTGCCAGGTGATGTTACAGCCAAGAACAGTTAGTTTATGGAGAAACTAGCTTGTGCAGAGTTAAACGTCAAGAGCTCGAGACTGGAATGAAAGCCTGTGGTGATCTGTTGTCCTTCTCACCTCTTCTGGCTGAGGGAGAACAAGGACCGTCATGGTCCCAGTGTGGATCCGCTCCATTCTGGAAGATAAGCCCACCTGAGGAATCCGCTGCACCCTGTGGGTACCTCCTTCGTATTTCAAGTGCCTGTAGACTTGCTCTCCCGAAATACGAGCAGCAGCATGGTGCAGCCCTCCTTGAAAAGTAGACAGTATTTGTCACATACTAGGCAATGGGGTTGCAGCAAGACCTTTACGCTATTTGTGCGGCTGGCGGAATGAGCAACTCACATACCATAATCAGCAGGGATGTATTTCATAATCTCAAAGGACCAGGTTTTGTAAGCAGCATAGTTCTGGTACATGTCAAACACTTCTTGGGTAAATTGCTGGCAAATGTCACCTGAAAAAAAATCCTGAAAGTTGCTGACATTTTCGCATCAGCTGCATGCTTCAGTGCAGCCGCAGCAGTAATTTAATTCATCTAAATCAGCATCTATGGTGAGTATTTACAACAAAATGTGATAAAAAGAAACATAAGAATACAAAACAGAGTTTGCAAACCGGGTCTGCAGTTTGGAATTGCTTTTACATGTGATGACTTTTGCTGACCTCCAGTTGTTCGGCCGGAGATCACCTCTAATATGACATCACTGTCGTCAAATTTTGGTCTTGGTCTCAAGATCTGGAAAATCTGAAAAAGCATGATGAGTCAGAGGCTGCAGGATGGGGCCGGTGATCTCTTTGGACTATCTGCAAGCAGGACATCGCTGAATCCACAGCTCACCTTCTGGTACAGGGCGCTGACTGTCTGGTTGATATCTTCCTTTTCAGCCAGAGCAAGATCTAACAATTGTTTCTCTTCTGGAATGTTCAACTCTGGGCAAAAGTAAACATTAAGCAATAATATCCAGTTTAAAGTAAATAGGGTGTATCCACACCAACTGATGGTTACATTTGATTTCACTCTTTTTCTTTGTTGATCAGGCAATCGGCTGGTCAGTAAAGCTCGGAGCAGCTCTCTGCTGGGTAGGTTCCTGCACAAGCAGGAGCAGTGAGAAGCCACTGGGCAAAAGCCCATTTGCGGCTGCATGCCCCCTCGGATTCCCCCATGCTGCCCCCTCATGTGGGCAGCAGGGCGAGGAGCAGCTGGGCAACGCCACTCTCCATCGCCTGGTGGACTGCACCCAGAGCTATTCAAGCCCTCGTGGCGCCACAACTTCTTGAAATGCTCCATGGGGTGTCGCTTACTGAAAGAGCTGCATAAACACACCCAAAGCAAGATGGTCCCTGCAGCAACCCTCCCCGTCCCGCAGCAATTCTGCAAACCAATGCTGGTCCGAGCACCTGGAAGAGCCATCAAAACAAACAGATCGGTGCCTTTTTAATGACTCCAGATCCGCATGGGCCTGTTCAGTGACAGACTATATTTGGGCCAATCCCTTACGACTTCCTGGAATAATTCTGCACCCATGGCTTTAGGAGGGATGATTTGGGAGCTGGCAGAGAACAAACCCGATTGTTCTACTAGATGGAGCTAAAGCAAAACAGATAGGAAAGCCTGGGAGATGTGGGAGGGGAGACAGAAGAAAAGTGAGCTGGGTAAAGATCATGACTTACTTGCACACAGTATCTCCAAATCCTGGATTTCTTTTTTTGCCTGTTGTATTTCTTTAAATGCCACAGCAAGTGGGAACAGTTCAGCATGTCTTTTGCTGAGACGCTTCCTTCTGCTTTCATCCACTGAGCAGCTATTTAGCAATTGGTCGATCCTTTGGTACTCTTTGCTTAAAGACTGCAAGTGTTTTTCCAGGCTTTTGTGATTCCACAGCGTCTTTGAGGGCTGGTGATATTTCCTTGACCACGTATTAAATACTACAGTAGAGGTAACTGTATTCCACAAACAGCTGTGCTGAGAGATATTCAGTTCTACAAATGGAACAGCTCTTTTAGGAAGAAAAGGGAGACGGCACTGCGGGCGATAGCAGGAGCAATTAGCAAAGAATGTTCTTAAGAGAGGAATCTGCCAGTGAGGTTTCATCTCAGTCTGAATTCTCTGGAATGCAAGAAGAACAAGTACAAATTTTCCCCCACTTTTATTTTAATGAGGCACGTATTTAAACAACCTGGTACTGCCCTCCTCAACTATATTTATATCATTTTTAAAAAACACTGTGCAAACATCATTATATCTGTCTATAACAGACAATCTCATTTATGATCCTAGCAGCCTTATAAGGTACATAGAAGTTCAGTGAGAATTACCCCCAAGCAAGTATACACTGGAGTGTAAGAGCATAGCCTTGGAGTGAAATCCTGCTTAGAAATCCCACTGCAGGCTGACATATTAGATTGCAGCTCCGGGTATTATCCACTGTTCTGTATCAACAGTTCAGCCGACTGTTAGCAAGAACACCTCCTTTACAAGGGGAATGCCCCACTTCCAAACCTCTAGAAAGGTATCTCTTGCCTGAAATCCTGGAGAGCCACTGTCAGTCCAGGTTGATAACGTCAGGGACGTATGGCCAGTAGGGTTATTTGGGGTTGATAACTTTGGGGAATTCAGGGTCTGACCTCCACTCCGACGGATTCATGTCATGTCTGATGAATGACTTTTTACAGACAGAGCGGCACCTCTGAGTAAGAAGCATCACATTCTCTACTATAAGCTGTTTTCTTTTCAATATATTAGCAGCAGAAACGCATTCTGTTTTAAAGATGACAGTCCCAGAGATGCCACAAGCAAAGCAGTTTACCAGTGCAGTTTCACTCTCTATATGTGTATTTCACGAATTCTCTTCCTGCACAAATGCAGTAGCCAGAAAACAAGCGAGCCAGTACCTTCTATTCTGTCTCCTGCCCCAAGTAGTCCAGGGATGCCCCACATCAAACTCTCTGAGACATCTGCAGAACAGAGTTCCTTAAAACAAGGAAGTCCTTCAGACACGCAACGGAAGTAGGAGAAAACTACACTTCCCAGCATCCTTACAAATGACTACAAGTCCCAAAATGCCAGAGGGAGGTTGTCTGGTTAACCTCCCCCTTGCCATAATCCTGTGCGTCTAATCCACACTGATGCGTACCCCCCGAATCTGTCTGTGTCTCCACATTTTGAGAGTTAGCTGGCCCGCACCGTTTCCAAGCCGCCATCGGGTCTGTGCAACATGCACCACCCCCGCGTGCCAAGACCCGAGTCACGGAGAGGGCAAACATTTGCACGGGCCTCCGCCGAGGATCGCGGCTGGGGGCTCCTCCACAGAAATGAGTGCCTTTGTCCCCGACACAAGCCGAGCGGCCTCTCCAGCCCCCGTCCTGGGCCACGACACTTTCGGGGAGGCAGGAAAAGGCCGCGCCGGCGGGTGCAGGCAGACCGGCACACGCGGAGGTGCTCTGGCGGCGAGCCTCCGCGCGGTGCCCGTGCAAGCGGGCTTGAGGAGCGGGGCCCGAGTCCAGCCCGCGCAACGGGAGCTGCCAAGCGGCGCTGCCCACGCGACCCGCGCGTGCCGCGGGAGCGGGCTGGGCAGCGGGGAGCAGGGCGGGCGCCTGCACGGAGCGGCGGCGGGGCCCGCGCGGCGCCCTTCGTCCCGCGGGACGAAGCCGGGGTGCCGCTGGCGCCCCTTCGCAGGCCCGAGCGCCGGCCGGCGTCCGTGCGCCCTCGCCTGCGCCCAGCAGCAGCAGCAGCAGCAGCAGCAGCGCC